AAAATAAATAAAAGGCATCTTTCTTCTTGAAAGGAATTTCAATTGGATCCGGCCTTAGGAATTTCAACTGTCCTGAACCCGGGGACAATGGACAATTACAGTCAATTTTTAAAAAAAAATCTTAATGCATCCTCAAATAGCCTCAAAATTCTCAGAAAACATTTTAAAACTTTTCTAAGAGTGCTATTTATGAAGTTATTTTAAAGAAAAAAACGCTTACTTTCGTTTCCGTTTGAAACGGGGAGTCACTTGCATATTTAGGAACTGACGTCACACGTGTCACACGTGACGTCACACGCCACTACATTCTTACTTTCGTCTGAATTTGTATAATTAAATCCAACTAATTTAGATGGTGAATAACTATTTGTATAATAAATTGTGCCCAAATGCAGCTTAATGAAAATGTGGGTTTAATATAGCGCATGTTATTCCATTAAATTTCAATGGTATCCACTGAAACATTGTTAATAGTGAACGAAATTTTCTAGTTCTGATTATTTAAGATTTTTTAGTTCAGTAAAAAAAGTGTTGGAAAGCGTTCTGTATGCCTGGTGAAAATGATAGGTTATAAATACAAAATAATTTTGTTCTTTCATTCTTTTTAACCACGTTATTCTTAATTTTAAAGAATATTTCAAATTCATATCAGATTTATTTTCATGTTAAGTGAATTGAAGGTTGAATCAATTTTTTTTTTATATAGAATAGTTTTAGATTTTGAAATGCAAGAAAGCTTAAGTTATTGATATTATTTATTTATTTATTCTAGCGTGAATACAAAACAGCGAATTGCCTGCAACTGTCCCTGGACCCGGGGATAGCAGTAGTCTTTTAAGAAAACTTGAGATCCCAGCAAAACTTTAAATTGAATTTTACCAAAATTTCCTAAAATTTTAAAGTTAAAAGAAAAATAATAAATATATTCCAGTAGATTTTATTTGCATTATTTAAATTGCGTTAATAATCCATGTATAAGAGTACTTGAATTCAAGCATATGCATTTACTTAGTCCTACGTTACAGAAACAGGAATTAAATTTTATAAATGCATACAAAATTAATTTTTCATCATAGCAAAGTTCCTATTTACTCAAATAATAAAAATATTGCGAAAAAAATATCGACATTACTGTCTATTTTTTAATTATTTAATAAATAATAAAGAATATGCCTTAGAATTTCTTTTCATTTTGTAAAAGTTTATTTTTTTATTATTATTCTTTAGCTTTAGTGAAACAAAAACGTCTAGCACTAAACTTATGTGGATAAATTAAGTAACATTAAGTGAAATTTTATGTCTAAGTAGATTGGGGTGTAGTATCTAAGTTGTTGCTACACATTAATTTGGACTAAAAAAAGTTAATAAGCAAAAATTAAAAAATCCTTTAAGAAATTATGCTTATGTTCTTGTGACTAATTTCATAATTAAAATTATCTACCTCACACGTTTGAGAGGAGATGAGCCGAATCTGAAAGAAGTCTTCGGGTGGGCTCGGATTCATAAAAAGTTTTCATATGCTTACTTTCTTAGCACGTTCAAATTAAACAAATATACAAAAAACTGTTAAATACAGTTATGATACAGTTAAAAAGAAAAAAATATTATTTGCTGTTAAAATTTAAGAAATATTATATTTGTAAATAAGTTAGCTCAATAATATATTTTATTTGTTCCTTGTCTTCACAAGTTTTGGATTTATATGTCTCTGTCATGCTAAATTTTGTCATATTTCAGACAAAGAAAGATTATTAGCGATCTCAAGCTTGATTAGACTAGAACACTCACAAAAAATCTACTAAGTGAACTTCTTGGAAACGGGCAAATTCAAAAAAATAAAAAATTCAAAAAAATAAATAAAAAAATAAAAAAAGAGAGAGAAAAGAAAAGAAAAAAGCCTGCTATCTTTGCTTTGAGTGACCTCGGACACCCGAAAATGAGGCTTACACGGAAATAATATCAAGGGTAATAAAAAATTTAGAAATCAAAAAACTTTTTTTTCTCTTCATAATTATAGATTTTAAGGCGTTGAAGTCAAATGTGCAATTTATTTTGAGCCTATTTGAATGTTTTCCAAGTCATTCACGAAGGGAGCTACACGAAGCAGAAAAACAAAAAGATTGCAACCACTGTGTTACCCTGATTTTTTTAAAATCATTTCTTAAAAATTATCGTTGTTTTAAACGTTTTTCGATTTGTACATTTTTTTAATATTCATGTTTATTTATTTAAAAAACTAGTTAGACCTTTAACTTTCAGGGCCTCAGAATTTTTCTTTTCGTCTTTGTTAATAATAATTTTATGATAAAACTATTATTGCCTCAAGTAAACTTCATAAATAGTGCTTTTTGAAATAAATAATAAATCTTACAAATGAATTTTTAGAAGTCTATAGATGCTTTATTAGGTACCTAGTACAAATATTTCGTTTCTTACATTATTTTCAGCATTCTCTTACAAACTCTTACTCTATCAATTAAATTCTAACACTTTATTCATAGTTTAGCTAAATTAAATTTTGAATATCTGTATGATGTATTTCCAACGAAGGCTGTAGGTTTTTAAAAATTTGGTGCTGCTCAAAATTTTTTTTTTCGATATTGTGATTAAGAATTATGCATGCCTACTATTAAATTAGGGCTCTCAAGTGGTATTATGCGCAGGGCTCCGAAATCTATATATCGGACCCTGATTGTAACATTTTAGGTATGGAAGCTTCATAAAATTTTGAAATCAGTTTACTCTCATAGATAGCGTAGTTAAGAGCTGTAATAATTAATAATAAAGCTAACACGTTTTTATTAGAAATCAGTTACTCATAATATTGAGAAAAAAATGTGCAAATCAATTTTTAACTTAGTCACCTTAAGGTTACTTAATAACTATGAGCTACATGCGGGAAAAAACTGCTGTCACATAAATGGGTAAATGAAGCGAGATTAGTTGAGAATGAATGAAATTTTCACGATTCGTCATTTATAACAAAGTCTTTGGGGGGGGGGCAGAGACAATTGTCCGGATTCCTGAACTACTGGAGACGGGTGGAAATTTGATAAAAGTTTTCTTAAAAGCAAATTTTTTTAACCTAATTTGAAAGAAAAAAAATCCACTTTTTTTTTTTGAAATACACATACCTATGTGCCAGAATTTTATAAAAGAACTTTCTATATTAGTGGTTTTAAAGTGCAGTGCTAACCAGGGTTTTTTGATAAATGCTAGGGACCGTGTGACCTCCTTGAAACGGAACACTTTGTGGTGCAATAAGAGCTAGATTTGATTTTTACTTTAACATCTAACAGGGCATCTTCGAATTCTGAGTGAAACATAGTTTTTTCCTCTAAAAACTTGTTCTTGGGAGACTGCTGTGTTCATCTTTTTACTTGTTCAAGTCAAAACACATACCAACTTTGAAGTCTGTAACATCGTTACTCTGCTAGATTCTTCATTTTTAACTCTTGAAACATCTTTATATTTATTGTAATAATTGTAAAATCATATACTTATTTGGCTTTTTTCCCCGCAGAATATAAAAAGTTTTAATAGAATATATATATATATATATATATATATATATTGTTTGNTTTTTCTTTGTTTTATTCTTCATTTTGAACTTTATATATATATATATATAAAGTATAAATTAGCATATTTGACATGATGCAAAATTGTTCGTGTGATTTTCAAGTAACATTTTAGTGAGAAAAAAAAGAAAACTTTATTCCTCTACTGATAGATTAATGTGTATTTTTCTCTTAATAATTATTAAGCATTTTTTGCATGCAGTAAAAATAATTTTCATTAACCAGAAATTTTTCAATAATAAATTAAAAATTAATTTATAACCATAATAAATTTAATACAGATTTGCAAAAGTGATTGTTACTTTTACGAACAAAAAAGAGAAAACAAGCAGAAAAGCAAATTATTTGTATATGTTTGGATTTTATTGTTGTCAAACATATTTTATCGATTTATTGATAATATAAGATATATAATATGTTTTAAACATTAAATTAAAATGGGCGCTAGTTCAGAGCTCTTAAAACATATCGACTGTTACTACCTATTTATATTATTTTGAAGCTAATGAAGTTATTAGCTATAAAATGCAGATTGTTTGTATTTTTACAATTATAAATGGTAAAATTAGGAAATTTTGCAAATGGCCAGTGGTCAGTCTTAGCATTTTCATTAAAATTCGCAACATTTTCGATAGCATTTGAAGCATTTTCAGCAGCATCTTTTGAAATAATTTTAATTAAAAATTAACCACTTTAAATTGAAAATTTTAAATGATTAAAAAAAAGTTTTTAAGGCATTTCTCAAAATTCGGCAAAAAATAAGGGTTTATTTTGAAAATAAAGAAAAATTTTAGGAAACATGTGTGAAGGAAACTAATTTTCAGAATATTTTAAAATATTCATAATAATTCCATTTTCAGTAAATATAATAATATTAATATGCAAATCGAGTATATTTTTGTCGGAAAACGTAGTAATGGAGCGGAGCCTGGTCATCAATTTTTTCTAATTTCTTTATTTCTTTTTCGCGAATTGATATTCCTCTGCATTGGGAGTTTTCTAGCTCTTTTGATGTACAAGTGATTCGAAATCATGAACGAAGTAAGCAATATATGTTGAAATTTAACTAACTGAATGCACATGAGTTTAAACTTGAATCAAGCACTGGACGTTTTTGCATGACTTATTAACTAAGCATCTATGAGTAGAAGAATTTTATTAAATCTATTACATTATAGATAGTTCATCAGCTCAGGACAACCGTTTCATTTTAGCTTAATTTCTTTTTTTCTGTCTCTAACGATAAAATTAACAATTTTGCTTGTTTCTTTAGAGAAAAGTTACCATTAGCACTGCTTGAAAGACATGTAGCGCCATCTATGACTTCACTTTTTGAGAGGTACTTTGCTTTAACTGTAACTGTTTGAAAGTCCATGTCAAAATTTGTTTACATTTTTGACGTTTCCTTATTATGGTTTAAATTTCTGTGATTGCCGGGCTATTTAATGTAAGAATTTTAAAATTTGTTTGTATCTCACTTGTTTCTCGAATCTAAATCCGCTATAAAGTTTTAATAATATCGTCCATTCATCGCTATAAGTATTAGCATTTTCTTTTTCCAGTGTTTCCGTTCGACACTATGATTTTGTCTGCTTATTTTATAGCTGAAAGCTTTTCTTTTCAAAATTTATTTTTAAATTTATATATGTTTGTACATGTAAATGTTATTTAAAATGCAAAAAAGCTTATACGTTTTTTTTTTCTCTCGTTGATAAGTTTATGTTTTGTATTTTGTTAGTTTTATTCAATGCTAAGATTTGCAGCTTTGTTTAAGTTAGTTTTTTTTATATTTTAAATCTATTTATATATTTTACCTTTCATTTATCCTATTCTCCATTTTTAAATTTTTTTTCGTTCTATACTTATAGCGAAAGTCTGCTTTACAATTTGCATTGCTAACATTGTACTTCTAATGTGTGATATTTTCTTATGTTATGCCAGTATTTTATTTATAAATGTTACCTGATACATGTATATCTGATAAAATTTACACTATTAGTTACTGAAATCAATAGACGTTTTAAAAATTAATGTGTATAATGTTTTTGATTACTGTCGTAATAATGAGTTTCTTTTTTAAAATTGTCTAGTTTTAACGTTTGAGATGTTTTAAAAATTAATGTGTATAATACTTTTGATTACTGTCATAATAATAAGTTTGTTTTTTAAAATTGTCCAGCTTTTCTTCGCCTTTGAACGGGGGGAATATTTCCCTAGCGTGATCTGTGACAGAATAATTGCTAAGTTTTGGAAACTACCGGGCAGCAACCCTCGAGAAACCAAAAAAACATTGCAGAAAAATACCTACTTGAAGGTTATAACTCTTAGCCAGCCCCGGGCAAACCTCTACAGGTTTTATTTGAAAAATTTTTATGTTCAAAGTCAATCTGGCTCCTTTGCGATTGTAGTTGGCGTGGCTGATGAGGATAGGGAAATACATCCAAAATAGGTTTTGCTTAGTTTACTTAAAGGCATTATATAGAAATTTTTTCCCTTGAAACTTATTTTAATGAAACGACAGATTTTTTTAAAGCATTATATATGCAAATTTTGGTACTGCAAATATTTTTAAATATATAGTGTTATTGCTGTCATTTCATAATACATGTATATGAATATTTTTTAGGAACTTCTAAAAGCTATGCAATTAAAAATTGAATTATGTGGCTAAGTTAAATTTAGTATCTGATATAATGAGTCATATATGCTTTACTTTCATTGTTTTGAGTTATTTTATTACAATTGATAAAGAATTTATTATTATGTGCAGATATATATATTCATTAAAAATATTTTCATGTTCCTGTAAAGTCAGTTGTTTCAAAATTTATTTTCTAATAATTGATATTTGATGTAAAATTATTATAACCATCTAGATATTTAAATAGCACTAAAATGTATAATCTAGCAACAATATTAAGTGTTGGCAAACATAAGAAAATTTTTGTTAACTTTTATTAACAGGTTTTATTATTAACCTGCCGAATAAAATGTACGCGATTCACTCCCCAGTGCCACCGATTTTCGCTCAAGTGCGCTTTGTTACGCGGTGTTTTGGTAGGGTAAAAAGATGCACGCGTTGCAATTTAAAAACAGCTTACTTTCACAAGAGAAGAAAAAGGAAAGGTTAAAACTTAGATGTTATATGATAAATCCTGAAACATGGTTGGACACATAAACCAACGTCACAATCATTGCACTGATAGCGGGATTCACGACAAATATGCACGGGAAACGAAAGCGAAAGAAGAATAAACCTGACCTTACTCAAATAGAAACACACAAGCAATAAATACGGTACTTTTCCAACACATTCCTTCCCCCTCCTCCGAAATTGGTAATACATTCATTGCAAACACTTTCAAGGTCATTTTACTGCATTCTAAAGTCGTTGGTGTAGTTCTACAGTCGAACCCCGCTATAGTGAACCTGGGATATAGTGAACACTCGGATGTAGTGAACTTTTTTAGCGGTCCCGTCCGTATTCCTATTTAAATAATGTTATTTTTAACGCTTATAGTGAACAGCTTAGAACTTGGAAACTCGGTTATAGTGGACTCAAATTTCATTTCTTTAAATATCTTTTTCAGTCCTCCATCTTTAAACTTGTAGGTGTTGGGACTGAAAATGAATGCATTCCTATAAAATGTGTCATATTACTCTCCTTTATGCTTATCACTTTTAACTATACTGTAATAAATGTCAAACAGATCATTTATCTTATACTCCCCCCTCCCTGACAAGCCTCGCTTTATCTCTTTTCCCCAAGCTTGCTCTACAACTAGTTAACTTGGCCACCTGCTGAATTTTTGGAATTTTCTTATCTGTTCAAACCATATTCTTTACAAATCACCCCTTGACAATCAAGAAGGGGAACAATTTAACTCATTCTACAGCTGCTCTCTTCATATTCTTACATTATCTATTTGAGACAAGATTTTTATTTCAAAAGCAGTGAAAATGGCAAATTCTCTAAAGAGAAAAGCGTTTTCGATAGAGGACAAAGTTAAAATTGTAAAGCGTATTGATGATGGAACCAATCAATCGACACTGTGTAAGGAATTTTCCTTGTCAAAATCTACAGTTTCAAACATTTGGAAAAATCGAAGTGCAATTCTTGCGGCATACGACAAAAACATGGTTTCATCGAAAAAACTGCGTGGAGCTGAAAGAGAAAACGTAGAAGATGCTTTGTTAAGATGGTTCGAAATCTTGTTCAAAATGTAAAAATCTTGCATTCTTTGCACATTGTAGATAAGAAAATTGATGAACTCAATTTAAAATCAAATTGTGTTCAATCAAAAATCACAAATTTTTTTCATAAAAAGTGAAAATAAAACTAATATTTAGCGACGTAATTACTTTTTCCATCAATTTTTGCTTTATTATCTGTTAATTAGTTAATAATTTTTTAAATAACTTATGCAAAATTGCAAAGCCGATTTTCAATCATTCAACTGTCTTATGCAAAAAATATTATTCAGAAAATTTGGATATAGTGAACCATCGGTTATAGTGGACACATTACTGAGTCCGCAGACGGTTCACTATAGCGGGGTTCGACTGTATTTATAGCAGCGCAATGCCAAGCATCCTACTTTGGGAAAGCTTATATATTCGCCTGTGGCAGTTAATGCGTCGTCTGGCCAAGACATCTATATATGCCCGCGGCAGTTAAGCCGTTAACTGGTTAAATCTTATTAGCAAAAACCGGTTGACAGATTTCTTGTAGTTCTATTGCAAGAGTCTCATTGCTATCTGTTGATACAGCGACAGTAACTCTTGTAATTTCTTCTATTTTAAGATCGTGCCATAGGTTTCATGAATATTATGTATGAATCTTATTTTAAGGTTTCCACCTTACTTCATGAAAACTTCTGTTATTATCTGTAACTATTTTGATTTTTCGTTATCTACATTATCTTTATCTTATTTTTATACCCAAACATAAAAATAATCCTTTTTTAGCATTAAGATAAATATTTTTATTTCAGGTGTTATATTTAATTTGAGACATGGGTACTAGAGTTACACCATCTGCAATACATTTTGCTGATAAAGCACTTGCAGGAGTCCCACGATTGTTAGATGATCTGCAACGTCTGATTGAAGATCGAGATACTGCAGACATTGTTTTTATCGTTGGAAGAGAAGAAGTGCCAATCTATGCCCACAGACTTATTATGCGAGCAAGGTACTTTTTTTGCTTTCTTTAAACTTAAATATTTAAAATGTAATAATTTATAATTAAAGAAAAAAGTGTCTGGGTCGCGCAGTGGGTTTGTCGTCGGCCTCCTGAAGCCCAAGTCTGCGGGTTCGATCCCCGGCCCAGACACCGGATTTTCGGGAAGCAGAAAATCCTCAGCGGCCATGCCGTATGATTATGCGACATGTAAAGGATCCCTGGAGTGCCTTATTGGCTCTTGGCATTTCAACATGACCAACGATATCTCACCCATTGTGGTGGTCCTGAAATAGTGGATATCACCTCTGGAGAACGCACTAGGTCTGTTCATCGGCAAGACCGATTGTGCAGCTCATTAGAAATAAAAAAAACAAGGTTTAACTGAACGGATAAAAATACTGCTGATTTTCCATTACTTTGCCGAAATTGGATTTTGATTTGAATTATTGATAAGTCTAATTTCCAGATTAGTTTTGATCTTTTTTTTTTCACGCATTTCATTTTGGTACTTCTAAAAGACCTTTATATTTTGCAACATTGTTTCAACTTGGGAAAATTATTATTTTATTTTGCAGATAAAATTGTTTGTTATAAAATTTGAAACTTTACAATACTTTTATCAACTTAACAATATTTTGAAGTTGATTCTTATTGTTTACATGATTATTGAGTTGTGGAAAATATATGTTTAAATGTTATATTGCATAAAATTCTTGGCGGTTTGTTGATTTGAAACCAGTAAAATCTGGTTCAGACCATCATGTGATAATAATTAGTTGTCCAAATTGTTTGTAGGATTAGCAACTGATCACTATTAATCATAAAAAAAGAATAGTTGACTGATTTGGTTTGATGTTTTGGTCTGTGTTTCTCCGTTATAATTTTGAATGCTAAGCATTCTCTCTAATTTTTTTTATTGAATTTTGGTTTATTTATTTATTATTACTCATAATCAATATCATGTTCTATTTATGATAAATATGTAACTTTCAACATTTCTATTAAACAAAGTAATAAAATTTCAGTATGTGTATATAAAACTTAATTTTTAAATATTTCAAAAATTTTAAATATTGTATTTTGAAAACTTTCTTTGTTTTATAAAATTTTGAGTATAAGAAAATCTAATTAGAGCATGAGAATTGGATTAATGAAAATGTATATGTGCTTTTGAAATCTTTTTGTTACTGGTCCTTTATAGCAGCGACTCCTTATATTCTAACTTCTGTTACATATAAAATTTTATGCAAAGTTATGTTACTATTTTTTTTAAGAGATGCTCAGTTTTTATGAAGAAACAATTTTATATTAAGTATCTGTATGTTTAAATATGCTAGATTACTCTTTCACATTTTGAGTTAAGAGTTAAAAGTTAAAATTTATCAAGGCAATGTCTTTTTAATTTTACACCTAAAAATAAAAAAATCGTTCTTCTAAGTACTGTCATTTTCAGCTATTTGTCTTTTAAATTTTTTCTAACCAAAAGTTCCGATCAAATTTTTATCACCTTTGAACCAACCAGCAGGATGTTTGGTTTGCAAAAATTTTTTTCTGAAATTACACTAAGTCAAGAAGTTAACGGAGTATAATCAAGTCAGAAATAATTTAGTTTTAAATAATCAATTGTCATAAAATGTTCCAGTGAACATCAAAACTATGACATTAATAAAAGTTTATTTGTCTATATCTTAATCAGAGGTATTGTGAAGCTGAAACATGCTGATATTTTTTTGTAATTTCTTTTTTCCCCCCGCAAGAATGTTTATTTAGTCAGTAAAATGAAGGCTGTTGCATTTACAAAAAAAGAAACTGCTGAGGATGAAGTTTTAAAAATAATCAAATTTTTATTTACAATTTCTAATTTAAGTATCAGTTCCGAATCTGATGAGTTTGTTAAAAAAGGATAGGATTTCAATGACTTTCACCTATCAAGCATATACAAAATTAAGAAAAAATTTATGTTTGTCCCATCATTGTGGTAGTATAAAGTTAAGCCTAATTAATTCTTATTAACTTCTAATTTCTGTTAACTTATTCTTAACTTTATTCTTAACTTCTAAATTCTGTAATATTATTTTATTAAGTTCTCTTGCTTATGTTGTTTTGATTTCTCTGTCTTAGAATTACTTAGAATTGTCTTAGATTACTTTTAGCAATTATATTTTAAATTTCTTTGGATGTAGAAATATTGTTTAATGTTTGATAAGTTCAATGTCTGATATGAACGTTGGGTAACTGGACATATTTTTTAATTGTTAATTTCTTTTCATAAAGAATAAAATTAAAAGTTCACAAAAGATAAATGTATGATCGGATAAGGGCTAATCATGCAGCATTATTGTAATCAAAATTGGGCATCTTAATTATATGTCAATAAGTGTCATAATCTAGTAGAGCCATAACCAAGTATCAATACTTATGACATATTCTGGTGGGCACAGTTACTAATAAACAATCTAGAATAATTTATCTTTATTCAAGAATTGTTGTTTCGGCTTATCTTCCAACTGTCTGGCAAAGTCAGCCAAGATCCATTAGACCGTTAACCCTCTGAAAATCAAGAGCCAGAAGGGGAGAAGTGTGTAAGTCCTCCCTGGAAAACTTAAGCAGACCAGAATGTGTTGGGCAGAGGCCTGCTGAGCTTGACATTTAGAGCAGCGTGCAAAGATCCCCTGCCCTCAAAGAACGAGAAACTCCTCTTGTGTCTTCTTACCTATCTTGAAAATGCTGTTCGTTAGGCTCTGTTACTGTCAAGAACAAGCAAACTACCCGACATTTTGCCTATGTACCTATAGGAGCATTGAGGGGTCTTCCACTCCTTTGAAAATTCAGATTTAATCTAATTGATTAATTTTGATATTTGGTAACTATCAGAGGATGTGGATATCACCACCTAATGCAGTGAAAGGTCAAGAAGTTTTCATGACTTTGAGAATCTGAAACTGTCCAATAAAAAATCATATGATGACTACTAAATCATCTTTGAAGAATCAAAGTGAATTCTTAGGGATGTAATGTTGCACTTCAAAATTTAAAGTTAATTAGCATTAAATGAAAACTTTTCTAAAAAAATTTTTGCTTCAAAAGAGATTTTTTTCTCAAATGAAAACTTTGTACAAATTACAGTTACTGCTAGAATTCAGAAGCTTGATCAAGTATGTAAATAATAGGATGTCATCCATCCTGACACCATAAGAGATCATTAAAAGTAATATCTTTGTTTTTTACAAAATGAGGGAAATAAAATCTTGAATATTGGAAGATTATAACACTATTAATTTTCTAACTCTCCAATATGTCTGAACTTAACGGGCAAACTGATTTTTCATTTAAAAAAAAAATCTGATCTTTAAAATTATAATGGCAGTTTAACAAAAATGATTTAACTCAATGCTGCAACACAAAACATCTCTCATCCTCTGTTGAAATGGAATGAAATATCGCTCCAATGACTTCAAAAAAAAAAAAAAAANAAAAAAAAAAAAAAAAAAAAAAAAAAAAAAAAAAAAAAAAAAAAAAAACGATTATATACTATTAATAAATAAGCTTCTTGAGAAAAATTTTAAACAATCAAAAATTTATGACTTCTTTTCATTGTGAATAATTTCTATATTTCACATGAAATGTACAGTACTTAAATATAAAATGAGTCGTTTTTTTTAAAATATATTTTCAGTCTCTGTATTACAAACTAAACTAAACTGACAAACTAAATGTACTCTTAAACTTTGACTTAAAAGAACACAGAAGACATATCCAAGCAACACAAAAGATATATCTAAAATCAAGACATTAGCTGATCTTCTGCCCCTCTACATAGTTGAAATTCAAATCACAGGTTTGATTTTTTTTTTCTGCTAAAATCATTCAACACTGCTCTTCATCTTCTGAACTTGATTTTTGGGAGTCATTCTATATTTTGAAACATTCTTACAAATTAGTTAATGATCTTTCCTGTATTCCACCATTTTCCAATATTTGGAAATCTATTTTAGTTTAATCTGCTGCACCTTTGGGCTCCCGCCAAATCCTTCCGCACTCGTTTCTTATCTCCCTTTTTTATTTTTTTGTGCAAGCGTGTTTCTGTCCCTGTTGGTAAAATTACTTTGCGTGTGTTTGTCTTTTTGCTTTCTTTACCATCATTTGAAACTCTGAGGCATGGAGGAAGGTTTTTATTAATAGAACTGAAACTATAGTATGTTCATTTTACTTTTATTTGTGCTTTATTCATGGTTTTTGTTCACGTTTTTAGCACAAAATATATCTTATCATTCGTTGAATCGGTTAATGTTGTCAAAATCATTGTGTCCCAAAGTGATCACATTAAGCAGAGACTACTATACTGCATATTTATTTATGCCAAGTGCATATTAATATTTGTTACCTACCACTTTAGATTTCAGAAAAAAAGCATTGTGCTGTGAAATCAGAACCAAGCATAAATATTATATTATCAATGATAAAACTATGTTAGTTTTGTGAAATAAATTTAAATTTATGAAACATTTGTGCTACCATTTTATTTCTTTTTTATAAAGAAGAACTGTCCTTTCAAAAAGCTACTAGGTGCTATTGAGTTAATATTTATTTTATTTTGTTCGATGTGATTTATGGATAATAACAAAATTGCTGTTAGCCTGACTATGGTATATTGAAGGCCAAATAATAATAAATGATATCAAGTGTAAGTGAAATGCAATAATTAGTGGTAAAAAGGTTTGTTATCCTTCTTATAATTGTGCTTATGTAATTTCTGGACTCGTTTAAGAAATTCTAGTAGACTTGAAATTCACTATCAAGCAAGTTACAGACCAATTTTGAAATTAATTATGATTAAAGTTGCATTTTGTTTGCTTAGTATTAGTTGATATTATACTTTTAATATTTCAATGCACTTTTGTCACCCCAACAGATTAATGACAGTAGTTTTGTATTAGATTACACATTTATATTGTTATATAAAGTACAACTACAATTGATGTAAGTTTGAAGGTAAGGTCAAGGACCTA